TTTGGCCCGAAAAAAAATTTCATTTCCGTTTTGAAATTTTCATTTCGATGCACCTGTAAGATATATATATATATATATAATTATTATTATTTGTGAAGGACAAAGGATTAGCAGAGCACTATGGGGGGATTTTATCAAGACTGGAGCAGAAAAAATCTGGAGCAGCCGTGCATGGCAACCAATCAGCTTCTCTCTTCAGTTTGTTCATTTAAGATTTGAAAATGAAAGAGAGAAGCTGATTGGTTGCCCTGCACAGCTGCTCCAGATTTTGTCTGCTCCAGTTTTTTATAAATTCCCTTCTGTGAGTTTTCTGAAGGGAACAGAAATTAGGAAACCGCCTTTAGGTTTCCTATGTCTGGTTGAAACTTCAGAGCTGTGCGAAGGGAGAAAGAAGAGAGTGGGAGGAGTTCAAATAAGCCCTCACTCGCCTAAGTAGCTATAGGCATTGTGGAGAAATTCGGCTTCATCTTACAACAGAGGCACAGAAATCTTAAAGATGAACTCCGGCCTTTCTTTTAGTCTTGAACTGTTGTACCAGCAAATCTCTTGGATTGAAATGGCTTTACTCCAATATATCTCTGCACACTGGGGGCTCCTCACAATTTGCATTAGAAGTTGCAGCAAGTCAGATAAGTAATTTGATTAGGTGGCCTAACAATGTCAACCAGGTACATTTAGATCTGAGCACCGGCATGGCTCTTTCCTCACTTCCTGTAATCAGGTGACAACACTGCAGCTCAGCAAAATGTAATGTTGTCACGAGCAATGAGGTAGACCTTCAGCTTGCCGTGGTGATGTCACAATGGGCTGTTCTTTTATCCCAGACACCGATGATAAGCAACTAGCCAGACGAAACTTAGCTCCACCCAACCATAATGGGTAGATCACACCTATCCCTGCCCACCGTCTCCTCCCCCAGACCAAAAACATTTCCAAAGAAAGACTTCAATACCTCTGCACTCGGTAAACTCGGGTCCACGGTGGAACGAGAGCCAAGATCCTGGCCACCAAGTCCACCAAGGTGCTGGGAGAATAACTGCGGTATCTTCTGGTTTTCCAGAGCTCGTAGAGGCCGGTGCCGCGGATGACCAGAGTCGGGTACAGCTTCATGCCGTCTGGCCGGAAAGCCGGATTTTCAAAGAACTCCTGAAAAACGTAAAAATGATGACAATGTAACAAAATCGGAACGTTGTCTAAAAGCGGTGTAACCTCAGGACCCACATGTGTCCTTGATGGACTGAACTGTGACGGAGCTCCATCCAAATGTGCATTGCTTGTACAGCTCCCTTGCGTTCCCTGTAGAGGTGCCGGGAGCCAGAATGTGACGTCACTCGGGTCCAGGCACCTCTACAGGACACGTGAGGGAGCTGTAAGCAATGCATGTATGTATGGAGCTCCCTCCCGGCCATACCCCCAGCCCACCTCAAGCTGACACTCGGCACCGGGCAGCATATTCTGAATGGCTGTTTGGTGTGAGAACTGACATTGCAGTGCTAGGGGGAGGCTGAGGAGCCTATCACCTAGAAAGTGGAAGGCATGCCGCGACCCACTGAACATGGGGTCGTGATCAGGGGCGTAACTAGAAATCACAGGGCCCCATAGCAAAATTTTGTAACGGGGCCCCATAATTGCTAGTTATGCCACTTGCAGAGCCCACCTGAGAGTGACCCTGCAGAGCCCGCCATAGACTCTCTATAGTGAGTAAGGGTGCAGGCCAGTGATGTAAGAGGAGGCGGGGTTGCTCTTAGGCGGGCCTCGCCTCCTCCACTGCGAACGCCGGCCTCTTCTGCCGCAGCTGCTGGCCGTCACTGACACAGCGGCTGTGAGGGGAAACTCTGCTGCTGAGCTGTGTCAGTGACAGCCAGCACTCTTACATGCCATAGCGACCCAGGCGGCCCACACGGCATCAGAGGGATGCCCTGGCCGGGCCCCCCCTGTGCCTGGGCCTCCTGGGTCGCTATAGCGATTGTTACTCCACTGGTCGTGACCCACTTTTGGGTCTAAAGTAAACACTTTAAAATATTGCGCGCCCATGAAATGGCGGTAAACAACAATACCCAAAATTGCCCACAGATGACAATTTCAAAGCCTTTACAGTTCATCTATTTCAGGTTAGCAGTGAGTGACGGCCATAGAAATATTGCTCTCACTCCAACGTTCGAAGCAAAACCTGAAACGCAATTGTTGTTTACGCACGTAGGCGCACAAGGTGCATGTCGGCATTTGCATGAGGGCTTTACATTTATTTAATGTTTAATTTTAATGCAACTTTCATTTTTTTAAACTTTTTTCTATTACACTTAGCTTTATTGCCATAACATGCCCCCTATGACATGGCATAATGGAAGTGATGGAGGTCCTCCCCTCAGGGGTTTATTAGACCTCTAATGTCACCAAGGGACCCCCACTGAAGCTGATCAAATACAGATCGTACTTCACCAGCCTCTTCTCTGGCCGCGGCAGCTGGAGAAAAGACGAAAACCTCGCCGCTGACCGGGTTCAGTAACCGGAGAGGAGATCAGACACTGGATGTGCGCTGAGCTCCCTCTGGTCAAGCTGTAGACACCCACCATGATGCATGAGGGAAAAGACGTCTATATACATTTAGGATTTACTGTGTACATATATGTCCTAAGGTGATTAAACAAGTGGTGTTTTTTGGGTTTTTCTTAGGTCCGTGATGCGCGCATCGAAGACAAACTTCACCCCTGAAAAAAAAAAGTGCACGAGGGTGCTTTTGGACCTCCTACGAAGGGGAAGGGCCACTATTTCCTGACCCCCCCCCCGGGGAGCAAGGCTCCTGACAGGGGCTAGGATGATTTTAGGTCCACCTACACGAAGGCCGGCGGACCCCTCTGCTCATGGACCTGCCGAAACAGGTTCACCGAGTACTGGGTTGGGGGCTCTCCCGAGGGGAGAGACCTCCCGGGATGGGAGGAGACAGAGGGCCCATGTAAGGGTCACAGAATCTCCTCCCCAACGTCAGGAAAAGGGCCCCTGAAGGTACCCACACCCTCCGTCTTCTGTGAAAGTCAAAAACCAATCAAAAAAGTGCTCAATCGTGCATAAAATAAAGTGCCAGTGCACCACCCTGGCAGGCCTTTTCGGCCGGAGTGCAAAAATAATACCCCGGGCTAGCCAAAAGGCCTGCCTTAGAGGCGTTGTGCGGAAAAGCATGGAGTGCCGTGACCTTGTGTCAGTGAATCAGTGTGGGGTCCCATACCCAAGTGATTCTCAGGCACCCCTGGGACACCACCCCCAGGGGGCACAGCCCCACCCGAACCCTCCAGCAGACCAGAGCAAGCATATGTCCACATCAGGAGGCAATAGTGCCGGGAACACCCCCCCTCGCCGGTGAGGGACCTCCCAAACACAACCATCACTCCAGCGAGTACTAAGTAACCCCCCCCCCCCCGCAGCGGCGC